GGGGCAATTGCAAAAATACCCTTAAATGTCGATTTCACTTACAGCCCATACCCTCGCACAGTAAAAAGAAAACGGCAACATCAGATATATCCTTATAAATATAGAATCCCTATAATACCCTTCCTTTATTTATATAATATTATAATATACTAAAATAAATAAAATATAGATCTATTTTTTATCCCTATTTTCTCTCTCCTCTTTATCATTGTCTCCCGCCATACATCGCATTATCTCTCTTCGAGTTTTTCTTCTTCTCTCTCTTGAATGTCTCTTCTCCAGCACGATTTTTTTGGTAAATTTACTCCAAGAAACTCATCCAATAAACGTAGATGTAGTGATATTGTCGCTTATAGTGGAAGAAAAACGAGTAAGTGGAAGGTCTAAACAAAACCGATTTTCTGAAAATATGTGTATATATATGTATGTATATGTATGTGTGTTTGTGTATATGAAAATATGTATATATATATGTATGTATGTATATGTATATTTGTATGTGTGTAATGTATGTGTATGAATGTATGTGTATGTGAAAATATATATATGTATGTGTATATATAGTATATAATTTTTTTATATTTTTTTTAAAATTTTTTAAAACATTTGCGACGGAATGCGACAGCGCTATACCGACGGAAATAAATCCGTCGCATTCCGTCGCAAATTCTTAATTGCGACGGATTTTTTTTATATTTGCGACGGATTTTTCCGTCGCTATATAACTGTTTTTTTGTAGTGTTCGTAGCAAAATCGAAGCTCATATACAAGCTCACATGATATAATGATAGCAAATCCCATAATCATTGGTAATTTTTGCAACTAAAATGAACCGACGTGCTATGAAAAAGGAAAACATAACCATGACATGGGGTTACGGAATTGATGGGGCAATATAATTCGTGAACCATTAATTATCAGTCCACAAATTATATAATTATTAATTTCTTTTTAGCGTACATGCCAATTAACCAAGGTATGACGATGCTCCCAATCACGAAACTCGTGTTATTATTGTTAACGAGGTTTAAAATTGTTTTCATGCACATACAAAATTTCGTGGATCTGCGGCAACATGATTATAAAATTAACAGTTTAACCATGCAAGTTTAGCGCCGTGATTATTACTAAATCATGGTTAAAAATTCACCATAAAAGAATATTATATTATTCCATATATTGAAATTATAGAAATTTTATATAATATTAGAGTTTACAATTTTTTTCAATACTGTATCGATTAATCTAGTTATTCACATTGATTGAATTATCTTATTTTGGGGGTAAGATGTTTTCATATTGACTAATCATTTATGCAAATTAAAATATGGTTTGATATACAAATAGGACCAAAAAGATATTTTGTGTGCGTGTGTTATGTATAAAATACACAAAATACTATAAAAGCGGAATTAATTAATGTAATGAATTGGTAGGATGAATCATATAATTAATAGGAAAGGAAAAGAACACGATTTGAATTTGAGCAAAGGTTGCGGATTCTAAACTTACAAAGTCTTTGAAACAATACAAAATATGATATTTTCAGAAAGTAAAAAAACGAGAAAGGTGAGAAACTTTTTCATGTCTTTTTGTAAGATATTACTTTTGCTTTATATTTTGATTTTATAATATTATATATATATATATATATGGTGCAAAAAGAATTTAAAAGAAAGTCAAATAGGGGCCTAAATTCATCAAATCATAATGATATCTCATACAGGGTACAGAGTAAATAGATTTGCACCCAAGATTTATCATCATTACCTCTTATATATATTTTTTATATTTTAAAATTCCTTTTTTGATTCAGCCGTATAATTTGGAAAATCTACATGTGAATATAATAATTATGGTGTACAAAAAGAAACCCTAGGTGAGAGTGATAGTTCTGTGTATGTATTCCCCGTCACATCTCCTGCTAAAATTTCCCTTATCGTGTTATCATTTTTTTTTATTAATTTATAAAATTAATTAAAAAGATAGTGTGACTATGATATCTGGTATTCTTCATTTGTTGAAATGATCTGACTTGTTTTTCTCTCTTTTGGTTGTCCTTTCCCTCTCTTTTCACATGGAATGTCTATGTCTTGGTCTTGTTATGATTACGATTTTAATTGTTTTTATTTGTGTTTAATCTGACATTAATGGTAAATTCGTAATATCTAATTATTATCGATATGGATCATGATGATGAACAGGAATAACGGTAATATATAATTATCCGTATTATGCACACAAAATTCTCTTTTGGTACGTATTAACCCAAAATCATTATATGTAATGTACGTTATATATTCAGATCAAACCCAACTTAGATAGTACCAGTCAAACATTGTCTCGCCTCGAGTTCGAGTGTTAATTTAGGAAAAAATGTATATTTTGATCATATAATTTGCTCTCGATTCATGGATTAGTCAAATCTCGATACAAAATACCCGATTATCTATAAAAAAAATATTCATATAAAAAAACATTAAATCTCAACCAAAATAGCACAGTATCAGTGTTCGTTTTCACACACATATACGCATAAATAATGGGTATAATATTTGAATAATCAAATAACAGCAAAAACTAATTAATGCAAGGGGAGATTAGTTCATGATACGAAACATAAGTAGGCGCGAAATTATCCAAAAGAGACAATGTCGTCGTCGTCGTATAAAGTAGACCGGCGTTTACGCGACAGGACACAACTCCCACTACACTCTCTCTTCCTTTTCTCCAGTGCCCTGACGCGTTTTGTCTCATACCCCCTCCCCCTCTCTCTCTCTCTTCTTACATCTTAATTAGGGATTTTATTCTAATTAATCTGTTGGAGAATTCAACTGTGAGCTAATCTTATCTCTTCATACAGGGGCTTTAATATACCCATATTATATTTAACTGTTAAAAGTTTTCATTTTTTTTTCTTTCTATTTCGAGATATTTATATGTTCTACATACATACATACATACATACATACACACATACATACATACATACAGGATACCATTACTTCAATATTCCAAGAATTCCATCTTTATCGATGGATATTACCACGTACGCCGTTAAAGATATAGTATTATTATTCTAACCCATTTTTTTTTCCAATTAGCAAATTATTAGCTTCCATGACAAAAATATGGAAAGGTGAGATTTATACGAATTTTATAACTAAATATGTCGAATAATTACAATGATATATCCGTATACAAAGATATGTACGTGCGTAAATGTATACATGAAAACAAGAATGAGAAATCTATGGGATTTATACGCATGTGTGTGTGTATATGTTAACCAATGGGCAATGGCGAAATGTCCACGAATCTAATCCACATCTACCCGGTATGACACCAAACCAACCACCCGAAGAATATATATAAAACGAAATTAAATATTTTAATTAAAAAAATTGACTTCAGTGTGCGGTTTCAGACCGATATACTAAATAAACAAACCCTAGGATAATTCACACGTATCGCAATCACCAAAGACTTCGCCTATATATTGTAAAATCTAAAGGACCTTTAACCTTCTCATCGTCTTCACCCTTCGAGAGAGAGAGAGATGGGAACTATGAACCATGGAGGGTTGTTCGACGAACAACAAGAGATGTTAAACCCTAATCCCAATCATCTGGGTTTCTTCTCTTTTCCTCATCACAACACAAATCTCTTTTCTTCTTCTGTTTCTGCTTCCTCCTCGTTCACTTCTTCGTCTTCGTCTTCTCCTTCTTCTTTAGCGTCTCCGTTTTCGGGCACGAACTGTCAACAACCTCTCATAAAAGCCTTTGTTAATAATATGAATCCAAGCATCTCCTCCTTTGCTCCTAATGATCCTATCAATCTCATCGCAAACCTCTCCGAAACCCTAATTCCACCATCGGCTTCGAAGCACAGAGACAGCAGTCACATCGATTTCAATCATAATCGCCTCGTTGGTGGTTCGTCCCAAAGACCGGTTCCAAATCCGTGGTAAGTATGTTACGCAAAATTCTTGTTGAAGCTTCTATATTTTCATGGTGAGTTTAATACATGTCTCTCTATACATGTCCTTGTCAGGATTTAATGACTTTCGTGTCTTTCCGTTGTATATCTTTATTCTAATTTTTTTGTTTGGGAAAAGGATTTAGATGTGAAATTTCTACGATGAAGAAACCCGTTGATGATCAATTTGTGGAGCACGTTTATACTTTATCCGATCATTCTTTGACTCCTCAAGTCAACAGTTATACAAATTATTTGTTTTGTCCATCAGCCATATTTGTCGTACGATCTTTACGCATTGCATACATTTTAGGACGATGGATTCCCATTTATGTTCAAGTTCGAGGGAATTCATGTTTATACACGGATACATGTATGTATATGTGCGCGTGTGCAAAAAGAGACAGAACATACCATGTATAGATACACACACACGCACACGCATGTGTTTACATATACATACATATATATGTCTGAGGAGGGAATGTATCTGGATGGTTTTAGGGCATGGGGAGATGAGAGAGAAGAACAAGAGGGATGCCTATGGAGCAAGAGAAGCAGCCATGGCGGCAGGGATGATGATCATCGTACTGCGTTGGGTGTTTCGTCGATGAAGATGAAGAAACTGAAGTCAAGAAGAAAGGTGAGGGAACCGAGGTTCTGTTTCAAGACACTAAGCGAGATTGATATCTTAGACGATGGCTACAGATGGAGGAAATATGGTCAGAAAGTTGTCAAGAACACCCAACATCCCAGGTACGTTCTCTCTCTCCCTCTCTCTCTCTCTCTATATATATATATATATCTTCTCATCATTTCGCTTTTCAAAATTTAAATTTTGATCTCAACCCTTTTTCTCCTTTTCTTTTTTAGCTGTTTCTTTTTGTTTTTTTTACTTGATCTGCATATATACCTGAGATCGAGATTGATTTTTGTATATGTGTGTGTGTTTGGCATGCATACAAGCAAGCACACGCGTATCTATCAAATATATATAGAGTGTATTGTCTGTGAACATGAAAGGTACACAAAACTCTCTCTATATATACGCACATATATATCATATAAGGTCATGCGTGTGTGTATATACAGATTATTACATATGTATGATTAATATAATCGTTGGTAATAAAAGTATATACAAATGTCCCATGTGGAATACAACTGAATATAGGAAAACTAACCATATATATGCTATAAATATGTATATAACATATGTACATATATCTGTATAAATACAAGTGTGTATGCCAGAGTGAGCGTATTGGACATCAGACTTTGGCATGCACTGGTTGGACAGAGCAAAGACAAGCTGTGTCCCTCTCTTCTTTCTCTCTCTCTCTCATCATTGTTTGGGAGTTATGATGACTACTGGCTACATGACTTTAACAGAATTGGCTCAGTAAATTTTTTTCTTTTCATGTTTTTAAGGTAAATTTATAGGAATCGTATTTTGGTGATATATAAAAATGAATCTTTATTATGCCGTAATTATGAGAAAACCCAACAAAAAGTGCTAATTATGAGCCCTATATAGAACTTAAAATGGGGCATTAGATTAGAGAAAAACGGAAACGTAATCCAATGTTATTAGTGCCTAAAGTTGGCACAAAACCGGCAAAGGCAACGCCTTTGAGAGATTTCGAGGATTATATGAGATGGGATTTGCGAGACATATGGGGTTTTCCTTAATTAAGATTCCCTCAAGCTGACATTGACATTCTCACAATAATTTGTTTGCTGTGGTTTTCATAACTCCTCATCGAAATTTCCAGCTGGAAAAAGGAATGTAGTCATGATAGCAAGCTATATAAGTATATGTATGTATATATATATATGTATCTCATGCCTTTATTTTTGGTTAGTAAAGTTTTTATCATTGAGTTCTTTCGTACTTTGTATAGTCCCATTTGCCCCACAGTGTTGACGCTATAAAGTTTTATCCAACGTTTTAAAAAGGAAGCATAAGCGTTTTAGAGTTTGATCAATTTACTTGCATATTCACTTCATAATGTGTCATTTATACAACTAGGGCACCATTTCCTGAAGAAATTTCACTCATATCCACCACTACTTACGATGTGGACAATGCATATACATACAGTTGATGTGTGTGTATCTATATACAAACAAAAAAAAACAACTAATGTACGAGTTTTTTTGGGGGGTAGGAGCTACTACAGATGCACGCAGGACAATTGCAGGGTGAAGAAGAGGGTGGAGAGATTAGCTGACGATCCGAGAATGGTGATTACCACTTACGAAGGGAGGCACGTTCACTCCCCTTCTCATGACCACGACGACTCTCTTCAGAACCAGCCTCCTCTCTCCAACTTCTTCTGGTGATTTTCTTTAATTCCCCCGCTTTGGCTAGTTATATGATTAACTCCCACAAATACTTATGTAACTGATATTACATATAATTATATATATATATGTGTTAAAAAAACATGAATATGATGAGGAAAAACATACGTATATGTGTATATGTATGTACTCTCTAGAGGACTGTAGTTGGGTTTTATCGTATGTATAATGTGAAGTCTGTGTTTTCTGTATTTGGCTGTCATTAGATTGTGTATTAGAAAATATTATATATATATATATGGTCTCTTGACAGATATTTCTGCAGAGTAACGTTTGTCTATAATACACCTTTGTGGTGGAATCCTTTCCCGAACCTCCGCTCAATGCTCAACGGAAACACTTTGTGTACCGGGTTGCCCTTTATATATATATATATATGGGTTTATTGGAGCATGTATATTTGAGCCTTCTTTTCATGGTGATAATATGATGGAAAAGCATTCGGAAAATGGGCCTGGGCTGTCGTCCTTATATGTGGACAAATGGGCATTTTTTTAAATTTTATGATGGCTTAAAGTCTGTTCCTTAATGGGCCTGACATTAGGCCCAATTGGAGGAACAGGGTGCAACCACGTGATACGCCGAGATGGGCAAAACGTCGAGCACGTGAGCGTCTCGAACTCCTCTGACTATTTGACGATTGCATTGTTTTTTTAATTTACATAATTAAATTAATAGCAGCAAGAATAAACAATGGAAATGCACTTTGATTACCAAACTGTTAGAGCAAACAAAAAGAAAATTGTAAAAAAAAAGTTATATATCGAGGACATGAAAAGAAGTGTGAGTCGCTAGAGTAGAGAGGAGGGACTCACCACGTGATTCCCACGTGGACCGCACGTTTCTTACCCTAATTTCAAGGTCCTTCAAAATAATCATTTATCATTGCGTTCAGACAAAATCTGAGCCGTATGTTTTTTTTTTGGTTTCCTTGTCGTTTCTTCGTGAAAAGAAGGAAGATTCCTAGGTGAACCTTTGATTCAAAATTAGTGTTATTGTCTTTTGCGCCTAATTTTCCGTTTAGCACTTTTTTTCCATAATTAATTAGCGAGTTTCACACTAATTATGATTAATCATGCTCTTTGTGCTTCTAACTTGGCCGAGGAAACGCTATCTTGTATGATCAATCAGTGCGCATATATACACACATGCATACATATATATATACACACCTGCATATATATATATATCTTAATACCCTCTTTACCTTTTAAGAAATCGCATATATTTCAATGTGTATAAGCATCTAAATGAATATTAAACCTTTGTTTCCTAATATGGGATATCATAGCCGAAACATCTGAAAACGAAACTACCATTGCAAAAACCCTAAATTTTCTTGGCTTTCTTATCCATGGCGACGGCTCCTCCTCCACTCATGGAGATGCTGTGACACCAAACAAACTCCCGACAAATCCCATCAATACGCACGTTTATTAAACATCGGCAATGGTACAAATTGTTAGAAACTTTAGAATATGATATTTTTAGTGTAACATCTCTGCTTTTTTTAATCTATTGTGATGCCTTAATTTATAAAACCGTTCACTAAATAGACACAGCCTTTATGGGGCTTTTTTTAATTATTATTTTATTTGAATCGTTGAATTGTGACACCTCTGTTTGTTTTATGTGAGAGGCAATGAATAACGATTAGAACAAATAATGGATTGGGATTATTCGAATCCTTTGAATGACGTTTTTTATAATTCAAACATTATAGAAAAACACCGATTATATATGTGATCATAAATTGGACCATACGCATTGTCTTCATCAATCATTGGCATCTATAAACAACGAATCTTTGATATGGGTTATTTAAATTACCTATCCATATAATTATAATCCATGAATACGATCCACAAAACGAAATGGCACGTGTAAACAAGACATGAAATTTCATTCTTTTATGAGACATTGACCATTATGGAATTATAACAATGGAAAACCCACGTATCCAATAATTATTCATGTAATTGTCGTATGATGCCAAAAACCATGTAGACACGCGCACACACATTCATATAATATCTAAGAAAAAATGACTGGAAGATAGGGAGAGGTCAAATCGGCGGAGGAGGGAGTTTCCGACAAGAACAGCCGTGGGTGGGACCTACCTGCCGCCGCGCGTGTTCCTTCTGATAGCTCTTCTTCGCCTTTGTCCGTTTGCTCCACTCTCTCTGTCTTCACTGACCCGTCCGTACATTCTCCATTATATGCCCTTCTCTTCCATTTATAAGTCATATCCCTCTCTTCCATATCTACACAACACATGTCCCATTTCATTTCCCATTTGGCACGTGCCTTATGTTACATATCCATACATATCGCTACTATATGTGTTTTCAACACCTATACTAGTTTACCATCTATTAAATTTTCCGTCTCAATTAAGATACGTTTCTATTTTTCAAATCTTTTTCAAAGAAAACAATTCGTGACATTAAATAATTCTATTCAATTATCTTCGACAATCTTTTCTTAATTAACAACTTTCGAGGCGTAAATATCTATAAATTATCCAAATAAGAAATCCTTCCCTTTTTTTTAGTTACATTAAAAGTATAAAAACACTCATGATTTTTTTATTTGTTGTATAAAAGGAACACGGAAATCGAAAGGGGAAAGAGGGGAGGAAGGCCACGTCGACCCG